GGCACCACCGGATGGGGCAGGCTGAAAATACGGGGAAGGAAGGAGGCAGTTCACAGGTGAGGTTTCTAAGAAGGGGAGCAGGATAAGCCTCGAAGCACATGTGAAAAACGGGTACTTCTCCCACCCAAACTGGAGTGAATTGAGGGAAGGAAGGAAGAAGCAAGGACTCACATGCTTCTCCCCTCGCAAACCTTAACTCCCTGGAAGCCGGGCACTGTGGACACCGAGAGCCACATACCGGTGGGAAGAGAAAAGAAGGAAGGCCGGCCACGGGCAGTTCCCAAGGCATGGCCTGGACGCCTGGAGAACAGCGCACAGTCAGTCCCCAACAAATAGTCACATCACCGGTGGGCTGACGTCACAATAGTCAAACTGCCTATTAGAAAAGTCCACATTATAATTTCACTCTTATCAGATAAATTCAAAACAGTTTCATCTTAAAAGGCCAACTCATACATTGATACACATTAAATAATTACATCATCAGGGATTTTTTAAAAGCTGATTTCCTCAGAAAAGACAAATAGGGACTCTGTGGCATCCTACTACGCTGATGGACAGTGACTACAATGGGGTATGGGGGGGGACTCGATAATAAGGGTGAATGTAGTAACCACATTGAAACTTTCATAAGAGTGTATGTCGATGATACCTTAAAAAATAGAAAGAGAGAGAGAGGGAGGGAGGGAGGGAGGAAGGCAGAAAGGCAGGAAGGAAGAAAAAAAAGCTGATTTCCTGAAATTCTTGATACATTTATTTGAAAAAAATGGGAAAAACCAACTTTCACTTACTTAATTGAGTTTCTGAAGTGGTCTTCTGCAGGGTTTTTTACTGTACAACTATTCAGGAGCCATAAGTCTGCGTCAGATGCATTTTCTATTAAGAGAAAATGAACATGAAAAAGAAAAGTTAAGTATCACATTTAATCACTCAGAAACATCCAAGTGCTCCCTCAGATGGCACTGAGACTTCTGGGGAAGGGCTAAGAGAGGCTGTGGGTAGAGGCACATAAACAGGCAGCTACACGACGGTAAGTAACTGTTACCATATAGAAACATTCCTGAAAAATAAATGTGAAAACATATAACCTGTGCTATACTTCTCATTTAAAATATAAATAAAGAGAGAAGCATTTTCTTCCTTCAGTTTCAATTCTTGAGAGCACTCCACAACTTCCAAAAACTAAAATGAAACTGGCCTAATCTTACATAAACTAACTGCCCCCTTTATGGACTGTGTGTTAATATTTCCAAGTACATGTATTATCATACACTGAATATTCTTCAGCTTGAGAAGTTATTAAAAAAATACTTTTTTCCCCAAAAAAAGTCAATAATTTATCTCAAAGTGAGCCTCCTATTCCTGTCACCAATTTGGTTAAGTACAGTTACATACAGTAGTTCCCCCTTATCTGCAGGGTGTACGTTCCAAGACCCCAATGGATGCCTGAAACCAAATAGTACCGAACCCTTTATGTACTACGATTTTCCCTTATGCATATCTAAGACATTTAATTTATAACTTAGGCACAGTAATGAAATTAACAAAAACTAATAATAAAACAATTATAATATACCGAAGTAACAGAAGTCATGCGAATATGGTGTCTCTCTCTCTCTCAAAGGACCTTACTGTGCCGTACTGACCTTCTTGTGCGAACATGAGGTGATAAAGTGCCTACGTGTGCGGTGAAGTGAGGCGATGACGTAGGCACCGTGATGTGGCATTCGGCTGCGGGCCTGGCTATCCTCAGGACCTGCTTCCAAGCCGCAGCTGGACGCCAAATGAAGGCACGGCTAAGGGGGGGCACATGCGCTGTAATAAACTCACAGTGCAAACGGCCCAAGCCCGTCACACTGATTGAAGGGAATGTAGATGTGCCTGGAGTGCTCAGGGCTCGTCCGACTACCTGCTGTCTCTCCATCGTCCTCACCACCTTGGAAAGGAAACCGACTCCATCGACCCCAGTGGATTTCAGTGAGAACAGAAGCTCAGATCGTGACAAGGAGAAGGCGAAGCGGACAGACGGACATCGGTGTGCACGCTCTCTGCCTGGGGATGGAACTCGGGAGCATGATGTTCAAGGGAGGGTGAGCACAGAGCTCCATGGTAACTCGGCAATCCTCCCCACCCCCCAACATTTTGTTATGAAAATAGTATTCTTAAAAAGAGACCAGATAAAGAAATTCTTGCAATGAAAAAAGGGAAGGGGAGCTTCTCATTACTGTGGGTCAGCTGATGGCCCCACTTCACTTGTCTCCCCTCCTCCACTCACACCCCACCCAGCAGCCAGAATGGCCTTTTATTGAAAAATCTTACTGTGCCACTTCCTGCTCCAACTCAGAAGGCAAGTACACTCCCTGCTCCAGCTCCCTGCGGGTCACCCCGGCACCGCCGCCCCAGAGGCGCCCCTCTAGGCTGGTCCCTAGTCCCACAGTGCTCTTCAGTCTTCCAGCGGCTTCCACTGGTGGACGAGGCCTGTCCAGCCGTAGCCACCTCCCCAACTTCACTATTACCTTCTCCCTACATTCACCTGCCCCTGCAGCCACACCAACGCACCTGGAATTCCTGAACCTTGCACCTATGTGGCCAGACACCTTTATTTTCCTCACAGAACAATGAACACACCCCTCTGCCTGCCTAACTCCTATGCCGTCTTCAGTTTCAGCGTGAGCTTCATCAGCCTCTTCCTCGCACTCCCACGGGAGACTGCACACAGACTATTCCAGCACTTCATATTCTGCATTAAAATCCTGGTTTCTCCCACCTTTCTTCATTACGATGTAAGAGACACTGAAGACATTTTTACCTGCTGCCCTCTGAATGCCCAGTGCCTAACACAGTGATGGGCACAGGACAGACACTAAAGTAGCCATGGAATACTAAGCAGTGTGCCCATAGGTACAGAAGAGGGAAGGACGGCAAGAGGGACCGTGTGTGGGACCACATGCCTGTGGCACGTCCACCAACCTCCTCAACGCTCTCAAGTCTGTGTCAACCTTCTGAAGTTAGCGTGAAGAACGTTACCATTGATCTAACCAATATCTTAGGGCTGAGATTATTATTCACAGCTGTACCCTGGCACTGATTACAGGGTCTGGCGCATGGCAGATACTAGTTAGACATTTAAGGAACAAATGCTGAATTCTGAAAGACAAAGCTGGGCCATGAGCATTGTATGGCACAGGTAATAAAAAGTCCAGATGTCTGTCAGCTAATGATAAAAAAGCAGAGACTTAGTTAAAATAAGCCAACGGAAGCCTAAAGACAGGAGCATCGGTGCCAGATGCCAGCTTTGAATCCTGGCACATCCTTCTGTTCAGGCACCATAAAGCATCCAGAAAGTTCTCAGTATACCCCAACAAAGTCCTCCCGAGGGGAACTCCAGTCGCAAACCAGATGCTGTGCCTGAGCTCTGCCAGCGCCAGGATGTGCTGACTTTCAAGACAGTGAGTGTTACACTTGGTGACCCAGGAACTTCTGTAAACGTGAATCCTGTGCCTGGAATGCCCCCAGTCACCTAACGCTTCAGTGACCGTCACCGATGAGAGCGCCTCCCGAGGGACGCGGGAGTTCCTTACCCGGTCACCTCCGGACTCAGCTCCGCACTGGGCACCTGGTTTAGTGCGGCCCTACCAGGAGACAGCGCTTCCTACGGGCCCCGGCCGGCCACGCCCACACCCACACTGTGAGGCTCGGCGTGCCAGGCCCTGGCCGGGAGGGCTTTCCGCCCTCACGGGGTTTGTGGCCTCACACAAGACGTCTGACAAAAAGAAGAAACAGAAACGAGCAAAATAACTTCAGGGACTGCTTGGTGACACTACAACAGCGGCAAAGGGTAATGGACAAAGAATAATCGGGGGGCTGCTGCCAAGACAAGCCTCCTGTGCAAGTTCAAATCTGAACTGACACTTAAATATTGGAAAGCAGCCTGCCGGGGAACGATCCGAAGAAAGACCATTCTGGGGAGAAAATCCCACAAGTGCAAAGGCCACAAAACGGAACCCCACTTGTGATGCTCTGGAAAGAGAAGACCAGTGTCCCAGACACCGGGGGACCAGAGGGGCTACGGGGCAGGCCCAGGTCATGCTGAAGCCACCTTACGCTGCATCCCAAGCATAATGAGCGGGCACGAGGGGCTGGAAGCGTGAGCCAGTGTCCGGGCCGGAAAGCCCCGCGTGCGGGGGCTACGGGAGAGGCCGTCGATGGGGCCAAAGTAAAGGTGGTGAGGAAGCACGGGAAGGTGGGGAAGCCAACTGGGAACTGACACGCTGGGTGAGGGCAGTGGGCGGCCAGGGCCAGGGCCGGGCTTACAGCAGGGGCACATGGGCCGTGAACACAGGCGTCGCTCTGGGGATACGGCCGCCAGAAACCCTCGGAGTAGCTATGATGGGTCAAGGAGTCGAGGAGGGGGCCTCGGCACACGCACAGGGTGCTGACTCAATCACCCGCCATCCTGCTGCCACTGACCACGGTGCAGGTCTGGCAAGAGCAGGTGTGGGGTCGGCGAGTCAGTGGGGCCTGGCTGTCCCCATACCCACGTTAGAGCCAAGATCCCTGTCACCTCTCCAGCTGGAGCTACCGGCTGGCCAGGGGCACACGGAGCCGAAGTTCAGGGGGTCCTTCGGGCTGGAGACACAGCTGGGGGGAGCAAGATCCCCCGGGGACTTCTGAATGCACAGGGACAGAGGAGCTTCCCTAAGGAGAAAACACAGGAACAAAGAGAAGACAGGGCCCTGGGTCACTCCAAGGTCTGGGAGAGAAGCTGAGATGAGAAAGGGGCTTTGAAAAGGTGCAGCCAAGGACAGAAGAACTAGGGAACATGGTGTCCCAGAAATCCAAAGAAAAACGCTTTTGAAAATGGAGTAATCAAATACGTTTAATGCTAAAAGTTCAAGAAAGGTACCTATAAATGTTAGTATTATTAACAAATGGATAGGATGATCCTCTACACTTTTGCATTTTTCTTCTCAGTTTTTATTTGCTTGCTGGGTGCCAATCCACCATCACTGACAAAGGCGCTTTTCCACAAAAATACAGAAAACAAATCACCACAAAAGGGGAGGAGGAAAATTGTATATGGCTTTTTGCCAACAAAGAATGCTGATTTCACACTTTACCCCTTTATCAACACCACTCCTATGTTCTAAGATGCCATCAGCTTTAAGAAATAATATGAACTTTGTAACAGTTCAATAGGGGTGGAATACTACACTCATGTTCTGGCCAATTTTAAGACCCCAACTCCAAACATTTAAGATCCCATCCCTGGGTGGCAGGGTGGGGGTGAAATGCATCTGAAACAGAAATGAGCTAGTTTAACATGTCTACCTGGGAGTGGTACCATCTAAAACAATCAATACCAGACAATCCGCCTTCCCAGAACCTCACCACCCAAATAAAGAAACTGTTCAAACATACCACCACTGGCACGTGACGTGGCTGCTGGATCAAACATCTGTGAAGAGAGGGTTAACATCTCCTGGTCTGCCTTAACGAGAGCGTTCACGCCAGGTTCCCGAGTACCTCGGGGGAAGACGCAGTATGAGAGAGGAGCGCTTCCGGGCAAGAAGGGCCATGTTAGACGGGCGAGAATGAACGAGGGAAGGGAACAGCAGCAAGACGGCACCAAGCTTGGAGGCAGACTTGGAGAGCACCCAGAAAAGATTTCTACCCAGCTGAGATCTGGTCCAAAGCACTGTCAACCCCTGAAACGCAGCTAAAAATCATCTACACAGAACTATCACCAGTGCCAGAGCTGGACTGTCAGGATTAGTCTGGAGCAACTAACTTCAGGCTAGCCACGTGCAACTAGACCTAGAGATCTGATAATGTGCAGTCTTTCATTAACACAGTGTTGCAATGAACAGCATTGT